CGGGAGTTGCATAATCTCATAGTTACAGGAACATGTATAAGTCATGAAGAAAGCAATAGCAATATACTAAACGATCAAGTGCTAGGCTAACGGAATGGGTCATGTCAATCACATCATTCTCCTAATGATGTGATCCCATTAATCAAATGACAACACATGTCTATGGTTAGGAAACATAACCATCTTTGATTAATAAGCTAGTGAAGTAGAGGCATACTAGTGACGTTGTGTTTGTCTATGTATTCACACATGTATTATGTTTCCGGTTAATACAATTCTAGCATGAATAATAAACATTTATCATGATATGAGGAAATAAATAATAACTTTATTATTGCCTCTAGGGCATATTTCCTTCACCAACAAGTCGAGTGCATGCACCGGATCGTGAGTGAGCACCTCGCCGTAGTCGCCCACTTGAATGGTGAGCAACTGCATCTGTTGCTTGCAACGGTGCTCGCGGGAGTATCTGTCACCGCACTTGAAACAGAGCCCGTTGGCGTGTCAGAAGTCGCGGAGTTGGCGCTCGCGGGCAAACTCGTCGTTGGCCGGCCGAGCCGCTGCTGCCGCTGCTGGTGGCCGCGGGGGAATCACGGCGGGCAGAGGCGGGGGCCATCCGGCTGGAATCAGTCGAGGGCGTGGACGGCGAACGTCGTTTTCTTCCTCCTGAATGCGGGCCAGTACCGAGGCACGCGTGATGCTGGTCGAAGCCTGAAGTCGTACCGCAGCGCGCAGATCGTCCCGCAGACCGAGGAGGAACTGGGTGACGAAGAAGCGCGGGCTCAACGAGGCGTCGAGGGCGAGTAGATGGTACATGTGAGCTTCAAAGGCTGCTCGATACTCTGCCACCGTGCCAGTTTGCCGTAGTTGCAGAAGCTGATGCATCTCCAGCTCAAACTCGTCCACCCCGAATTCTTCGCGGATCGCCGCACAGAAGGCGTCCCACCCGAGCGCGCGATGAGCTTGACGATACGCTTGAAGCCAGTGAGCTGCCTGCCCTTCGATGTACAGCGTCGCTGTGGTCACCCAGTTGTGTGGAGGCACGCGGTACAGCTCGAAGTAGGCGACACAGCGATCAATCCACAGGTACGGGGCTGAGCCGTCGAACCGTGGAAAATCGTGCTTGGGAGGCTTGGTGAAGTACTCCTCGTGCCGCGGCATCTCCGTGTCGTGGTGTCCTGGAGCGGGGTCACCGGGGTGAGGTTCGTCGACATGGCCTTTGCCGTGTCGTAGTGGAAGAAGAGGCGGTCCGTTGTTGACGAGGCGGGGTTGCTGCGTGTGTGGATCCACCGGTGCCGCGGAGGAACCGGTCATGGGGCCGCCCCGTGGCGTACTTGGATGGCGACCGCGCGGCGAGGTTGCGAGCGGTGGTGGTGCGGTCTCGCGCTGCTGGCGCACTTCGTCGACATCGGCCTGCGTCAGATCCACTTGGCGGCGCAGGTGAGCGAGATCTGCAGAGACCTGCTTGTTGAAGGCGATCTGCGCCTCCGCTTGCTTGTCGCCGGCGAGTTTGCTCTCGTCGAAACGGGTGAGCAGGGACGAGAGCATGGACTTGAGTTCCTCCGACGATTCCGCCATGGCGAGGAGGATATGCTTGCTTTGTGCCGAAGGCTTGGACGACGGCGCCGTATCTGCTCGATCGGTCTAACCCCGCTTGGGATTTCGTGTCGATTTGCCGAAGCAATTCAACACCCAGAGCAGTGGATGTTACAGATCAATCGGCGAACGCGGGGGGAAGAAAAATTTCGGCCGGGATCGAGAGGGCTCTGATAACCAGTTGTGACGACCCGATGAGGATCAGATCGCACGAGAGGGGAAAGGGGAGGAGATGCAGGAAGGAGGACAGCTTTACTTGCAGGAGAGGAAAGTTTCAGAGTACAGATGAGAGACAGAGGATCACCACACACACGCATACCCCACGCGCCCACGCAGGGGCTGGCAATATAGCTACTCGCGGCTCGGTCCCGCTGCTGATCTGGCCAGCGATGACTTGTCCCTCCCTTTCCTATTGGCTACTCAGGTCCACCGTGGCACTTGCAGGTGCAGGTGTGACAGATGGATGGCTGGAGGGGATTGGGAACGCCCATGTCGACGTCGACGGGGGTCCCCGACCGCCAGCCGGACGGGACGGGATCAATGCACGCTGCTAGCTGCTGCTCTCTAGGTCTGGCAGGATAAGACGCCCTGGCTCTGCTCTCCCCAGCAGTGCCCGTCTGGTGTTCGAACAAATGCCTGGCGGCAGCGGAGCCGATCGTACTAGTGAGTGCACCAGTGCTGCTAGCTGTACCTAGCTGCCGTGGCCAGTTCCCCGGTGATGGAACCCTTCACCGTTGGCCATTAACTGCCGTGCGTTACTGAACGGAGAAGAGCCAAGAGACGACACGAGCGGCGCGGAGCGAAAATGTCAAAAGATGGCGACGCTCAAGGCGCCAGGGAGGTCTCGGAGCGGCGACTTTGCTGGAATCAAGTGGACGACGGTACGTTTTTGGTCTTCTGCGATGATGACTAAATCAAGGATTCAAGGTGGCTTCTGCTTCTGAACGCGGAATTCCTCAGAACGCTGGTCTGAACCCACGGTGTGTGGACTCTGGTCGTGTACCAGACTAGCAGTCAGCAGTCAGCAGTCAGCACTATGTGTACCATTTCACAGCTTACCATCACTGTCCACAGATTCCATTTCACAACCTCCTAATGGCTAATGCCAGGTATTCTACTAGCCAACTCTTGCTTATCTACAGCACTATGCAACCAACCATGCAACAGCTACGAAGCCCCATCGCCTAGTTCTCTGGCCATTCTATTTAACAGCTGAGATGCATGTTTGCTCATTATTTTTCGGTGTGTTATAGGTTTCTCTAACTCCAAAGTGGTCCTAATGAGAGACCATATTATAGTATCCCCCTTGCATAATCCGCATGCCGACCGTGTTTACAATTCGCATACGACTGGGTCCAACCTAATAAGCTATCAGACCAGATGATTGATAGCCTGGTTGGTACATTGCCGCGGGGGGTCCTGCCCTGTTTCTGCCATTTGTTTAACTGACTTCACCGGTCTCCCCCCTCCCTTCTCACTTTTGCTCGCTGTCCACACTTCACACCGTTCACACCATTGCTGAGGCCGGAAGAACTCTGCCATCTTTCAAGCTCACAAGGCGTCCCTCACTAGTCTGAGCAGCAGCCGTCGCTCTGGATACAAGCTCAAAGCCGCAACCGCAGCCTAAGCATTGCAACGCTTCCCCATTCCAGGTATGATTCTCCCTCCATCTTCCTGTGCTCGGTTCTTCGACATGGGTATGCAGCTTCCATCGCCAACAGTCTTCCACTTTTCCGCTCGCAGTTAATCGTACTAGTCACCCCTGATCTTGGTACAAGCTTGAACCTGCAACCTCGGCTAGGGGCTGAGATGTATGTATGATGGCTAAATGAGGGCAGCCATTCCGTGTGACCTTGTCTGTGTGAGAAGCATTGCGTTGCCGCTTTCCCCTTCCAGGTATGATTCTCAGTTTCTCTTCCTATGCTTTGTTGTTAGACATGGATGCATTACTTCCGTTGCCAATAGCTTACCACTTCTCCACTCGCAATTAGCTTTACTAGTCAGACTAAATTTATGAACAGAGGGAGTACATGTGTAATTTGGGGTAATAGCAGTTGGACCTTGTACCTAGGTAGCCAGAGTAAAGAAAGGGAAATATCTTCTTTTTTTACGATAAGTAGCAGGTGCTCTGCTGTTGCGTACAAGTTCAAAGGGAAATATCTAGGCCACTTAGTTTGGTGGATCAGATTACAATAGTGAAGTTCAATCATGTATATAACTTTTATTACTGTTGTAGTATGAGAAACACAGCTTATTTTCCAACCATAATAATTAAAACTGAATAAAAAATATAATTATATTCTCATATATTATATATTGTAATATCTAGCACTATAATCCAGTGTGTACTCTTGTGGTTGACTGGGACCAACACACCACTAACTCACACTCACTTTCCGGAGAAGTCTATGTACATGATGAGCTAATAATTCATATGATGGTTACTGCTTTTATTTAAAATAATTCATATTGTGGTTATCAGTGTGGGGTCAAGCAGTCAAGGTAGCCTTTAACGCGCTCTCTTTTTGTTGTTTTCCTTTGGGACATAGACTTCAGCAAGTCCCTCTTCTTCCTAGCTGCCTTCTTCGCCTTTTCTTCTTCAGCACAGTCCTTGAATGATATTCAAATCTTCCATAGATCTTCTCTCATCCAAGAAACTCTTTACCCAATTCTGCAGATGAAGCATTGTTAAGGCTAGAAGTCCTCAGCTACCTTTGAAGCATACGAGTGTATTCACTTGTCTGAGCAGCAAAATCTGTCCATCGTTCTGGGTGCAAGCTCAAACTTGCAACCTCAGCTAGGGACTGATGTATGGCTAATGCCTTTCCATGCCAGGTATGATCCTTACCTTCTCTTCCTGTGCTTGGTGTTTAGACATAGATATATGACTTCCATTTCCAGTAGTCTACTACTTCTCCGCTTGCTATTAATTTTACTAGTTACCCTGTAGGATCTGTTAGTATTTCGACAATAAATAATAACTATGTGTTTCTGGAAGCAATCGGACCCATGTAGGCTGCTTATTTTGGTGGGTAAAATTATGAAGGTTAATACAGCACTAACTCACACCTTCTTTCTTGAGAAGTTTATGTACATGAGCTAATGATTCATATGGTGGTTACTGTTTGAAAAATAATAAATATTGTGGTTATCCTTGTGGGATTAAGCAGGGAAGGCAGCCTTTAACGCAGTTTCTTTCTGTTGTTTTCGTTTGGTGTATAGACCTCACCAAGTCGCTCTTCCTTCAAGCTGTCTTCTTTGCCTTCTCTTCTTCAGCACAATCCTTAAATGACATTTGAATCTTTTTTGTATCTTCTCTCATCCAAGAATATCCAATGCTACAGATGCAAGCTTAGACAGCAACTGAGAGGTTGAGACTTGCAATCTTGGTCAAGAGCAATCACATGGAAAACGGCGGGCAGACCGAACACACCATTGATCTGCCCAACACTGGGAATCATTTAGGTGAAGGCAGCAAGGATGGGTTTGGCATGGTTACTGACAGCACTAGGCAAGATTCAGTTAATGGATTGTCCAGCAGGTCTTTATTATCCAGTAGCCCTGAACCTGAACCTGAACCCATCCCTGTTGATTTTGAGCTCCTGTGGAGACTGCGGAAGTATTTAGTACTGCTTGGAGTCTTAGCAGTTACTGTGACATACAATGCTGGATTAACACCACCAGGGGGATCTTGGACACTAAACACGGATGGCCATGATGCTGGTGACCCTGTCCTGCATGTTGGCTACTCTCTAAGATATGAGGTATTCTTTTACTGCAACACAACAGCCTTTGCTGCATCTCTTGTCTTAGTCATCTTGCTTCTAAGTAAGAGTGTGACGAAGCGGAATATATGGCTCCGTTCAATGCAATTGACCATGCTGCTGGACTTATTTAGCCTGCTGGGGGCCTTTGCTGCTGGAAGCTGCAGGGCACCTAAGTCATCCATTTACATCTGGATTCTAGTCTTTGCTGTTTTTGTGTATGTTGTGATTCATACCCTAGTATCCAGAAGGGTTATTCCAAAATCATTGAGAAAGAAGCTGCAAACAATGATGGATGAAATTCGATCCAGACGCGGTGGCAGTGTCAGTTCCACACAAGCAAGCAGCAATCCAGAGGAAGATGTTGAGGAGGACCGTAAGTTCATATTGATGCTTGCAACTTTTGCTGCTACTATCACATACCAAGCCGGATTGAATCCACCTGGAGGCTTTTGGGCTGAAAATCCTTCTTATGAGCATCCTCCAGCTACCTCTATTCTCCGCAGTAACTACCTTCACCGGTATAATATTTTTATTTGCTGCAATGCGACTTCTTTTGTGGCATCTTTGGTCACAATCATTCTTCTTCTGAGCCCAGAATTGAGTAGCCATGGAATAAGGTCCAAAGCTGTGATTGTGTGTGTCGTATTTGACCTATTTGGTCTGATTGGGGCCTATGCTGCAGGGTGCTGTAGGAGTGTAAGGACATCTTTCTTTGTTGTGTTCATTACTGTCATAGTATGGGTCTGCTTTGCGGTGTTAGCTGCGGCATTTGTTTACAAACCTGTAGCAGACTGGCTGCAAAAGATCAAAGATCATAAGTGCTTCAAAAAACTTGGTCGGCTCTTTTCACTGGAATCAGGAAATTCAGAGCAAGATCATTCTCATGCAACTGGTCAGCATACTACAGACCTTGCAACAGTTACGCCAGAAGAAGGCAGTGCTTCTGACACAGAAAACCGAGTTCAAAACAGCAAACAGGATGGAATCCTTAGGGAGCATCAGCATGCAGACAGCCAGAAAATTGCAAATAATGAGGAGGCTGAGCCCAGCTCAGAGCAACCATCGGTCAATGACCCGCAACCAGGAAATACCACAAATATTGTGTTCAACCCAGAGGGTCAGTGTATAGACTGCCAATCAGTTGCAAATGATGCAGTCTCTGACACAGGACATCCTTCAATCAAATGCCACCAAGCTACAAATACTGTGAATCAAGTGCCTAGCACTGATAATCATTCCGCAGACAATCAGCAAGATGCAAGTAAGAAGGAACAGCTGTCTCCAAATAATGGCCCAAAGACTGCAAATATTGTTGACTATATGCCCAAGAAGCAAGTTGCAGATACGAAAGGTCAATCTTCATCAACTGATGAATGCAAGGATGCAGTTATTTTAGTGGATGATTCGTCTGAACAAACAACGTCAGATAATCACTGCAATGGAGCCACCAACGATCACCAAGTACAGCAAGTGCATTCTGATGGGCCTATGAGAACCAGTGAGATTGAGATGGTTGGAAGTAATAACATTGTTGTGCCTTATGAAAATGGCAATGTTGACAAGAAAGGAGGTCCCACTGAAGATAGCAGCAAAAAGAATTCTGATGACGGACCAACTTCGGAACCTCTGAAGAAGTCCCGCACATACCTACTTCTTCTTGCCATTCTGGCAGTTTCTCTGACATATCAATCAGGTTTGAATCCGCCAGGTGGCTTCTGGTCAAGAACAGAGAATGGTCATTCAGCTGGTGATCCCATCCTTGAGGACAATCACCATCCCCGTTATATTGCATTCTTCTATCTGAATGCAGTCGCGTTTGTTGCATCCTTTGTCATGATCATTATGCTCCTGAACAAGAGGATAAGCGAGAAGGCTACAAAACGATTTGCTCTACAGATAGCAATGATAGTGGACCTTCTTGCCCTAATGGGGGCTTATGTTATGGGAAGCTCCAGGGAGGCAAGGAGCTCCATGTACATCTCATTGTTGGTGGGCCTTGTACTTGCTTATGTTGGCATTCATCTTTTGATAGCACATGTAATCCCTGAAGGGTGGAAAAAAGTGGTGGCTGAAAAGCTAAAGCTCTTCTCGTGCAAACATTTGTGGCCCAAATTGCATCAGGATGGCGAAAACCAGAATGGGGATGTTGACGGGAAGGAGTGGGAGCGGAGGCGTAATCTGCTATTGATTCTTGCTGTTCTAGCTGCAACTGTCACATACCAAGCTGGTATAAACCCTCCAGGAAGTGTATGGTCAGATGACAAGAAGGTCAGTGGCACACCAGGCAGTCCAATCCTTCAGCACAATCATTCAAAACGCTATGATGTGTTCTACTACTCAAATTCAGTTACATTCGTGTCATCTGTAGTTATCACGATACTACTTGTGAACAAGGAATCATGTGAGCGTGGCATCAAGTGCTATGCACTGCGAGTATGTCTGGTGGTGGGCTTGGTTGGCCTCTTGATTGCCTATGCTGCAGGAAGCTGCAGGAAAGCAAAAGAATCTAAGTATCTCATCATCATCGCTGTTGCAGTTCTGGCCTTCCTTGTGATTCAAGTCCTTATACTCTCTTCGACACATGGTACAGTATGGGGGCCGTTGAGCAAATTCTTGGAAGACTCTCTGAAACGGCTTCTTCGTCCAAAAGAGTCCAGGCAAGAAACTGTTTCTGAGCGGCAAGAAAGTTCGGATCAGAATGAGAAAGAAAAGAGAAAGAGGCATAAATATCTGATGCTCCTTGCAGTTTTAGCAGCCTCCATCACATACCAAGCTGGTCTGAACCCGCCTGGTGGTTTCTGGTCTGATGATTCCAACCATGTTGCAGGAAATCCAGTCCTTCATGATATTCATCCCTGGCGCTACAGAGCATTCTTCATCTTCAATGGTATCTCCTTCATGACATCTATTGTCGTGATAATGTTTCTGTTGAAAAAGGCTGTGAGGAGGAATGGTGTTCTACTGGAGGTATTGCATTTGATCATGATACTGGATCTGCTAGCTCTTATGACAGCTTTTGCTGCGGGAAGCTGCCGAAAATTAAGGACTTCAATGTATGTCTATGGGCTAGTAATTGCGGTTGCAGTATACCTCGTGGTTGCAATTGGTGTAGCGAGCGGCATTGCGAAGTGTCTGAGACCAAGGCAAAGAAATGGGCATTCCCTCGAAGGCAATCCTGAAAGTGCTTCCACAACAAACCCGCCGATAGCTGCACAACAAGTTTGAAGGCTCAATTTCTATGGGACTACTTGAGAATTTGTTTCCTGCATTATTTGCAAATAATTGTTGTGCTGTAGTCAGTCTGTTTTTCCTTCCTAAAGTCCAGAGTAAACTTGAAAGCTGGCGCTGTTGTATATTTCTGAACACTATTTTAGCATAATTGAAATTTGGACTTGAGCAATCAATTGCATATCTGTTAGGTGTTCATAGATTGGGCACTGTAATGGAACTACAGGCATGCAATGCAGATTATTTTCGTTTTGTTTTCTTGAAAAACTAAGAGTATATAGGCGCATATACTACTTATTTTAAAAATAATTATCTTCATAACTCTAAAATCTCATCAATAGCCTACTTCTACTCAGTTTGTGGCTGCTTTGATTTCATTCTCACAAATTTCTAGCTTGAGTTTTTTTGAACCCTTCTCATTTTACTTCTAAACTCTGCCACTGTAAGCATGATACTCTTTTGTATACAAGTCTAGATTTTATTCTGCGACGCAAATGGATATCATATTATCCTAGTTCCTAGGCATGTGGATTCCTGGCTTGGTCTATACTTATGAAGTTTTATTTCTCCTCATAAGTGGAGCTACTGAGCTGGTTTGAGTAAACGCGGGCTTTAATGTCTGTTCAACCAGTTTGGATTTGAAATGTAGCCTTTGCTGTGACGCCCGGGTAATTAAGCTACAGCAACCCTCTACTAATGATGCCACGTCACTTCAATTACTGTTGCTAATCTCGCGTCAGTTCGAAACCGATTCAAATTCAAATTCAAAATCAAGCAAACAATAATTTTTTTTAAATATTAAAACTAAAATGTTCGGAGTGAACCAAATATTGCATAGGAAATTATGGTGGAGAAACCACCCTTTTATAAAATGTTTAAATACTATAAGCTGAACAAAACAGTAACAAAACCAATTATTTAAAAGTTTTTAAAATAATAAACAATTGCAAACTATTTTATTTTAGGTGCCAAATTAATTGAGGTGGTGGCATATTTGTTAATACTAATTTAGGTACAACTAATGTATTCTATAAAACTAAGGTATTTAAAATATAAAATTAAAATAGAAAAGAAAAAAAATAAAACAAAAGTCAAAATAAATAAAAAGGGGGAGACAAAGACCCCTTCCCCCACTGGACCCCTTGGCCCAACTGGGCCATGGCCCAGCCAGGCCGGCCGACGCCTCTGGCCTACATAGGCCTCCCCACTCCCCCAAACCCTAACCGACAACCCCGCTCGCTCCCCATGATCCCCTTTCTCGGTCGCTCCTCTTCCCCTCACCCGATTCGATTTGGAAGGGGACCGACCCTCCCCCCTCAGCGCACGCGACCGCTGCCCCTGGCGCCGCCCCGATGGCCGCGCCTCTCCACCCGTCTCCGGCTCGCCACCCCTCTCGCTCCTCTTCCCCGACCCAATCTGGATCGGGAAGGGGCAACGAGCCCGACGCCTCCCTCACTGACACCGTCGTTGTGCGCCACCACCGTCAATCGAAGACCTTGTCGTCGCCGGGGCCCCGCGCCGCCTCGACTACATCGACGCACGGGTCCCCGTCCTCCTCCTCAATGGCCTCCCTCGAGCCTCGCCGCCCCTGGTCTCTACTCGATCGTGAGGACCCCAACTCCTCTCCTCTCCCTGTCCCCGTGTGCACGTACATGCACGCGCACACCGTCGTCCCCATCGCCCGCAACAGCCACGACCATCCGCCGCTGCTCTCGCCGAGCCGCCGCGTCTCTGCGCTCTGCTGCCCGCCTCTGCCTGGCATTGTGGCCTCGACGCGCCCCGTCCTGCGCTGCTTCTGCTGCCCGCGGGCTGTGCCACCGCCGCCCGGCTCCGGCCACTACACCGCGGCGCCGCTCGGAGGCCCCGTGTCCTTCGCCCCGAGCCCAGCACCGTTCCCCGCCTCCTTCCCATCACCGCGACCGTCCGCGACCCCACTGCGGCTGCGCCCGCCAGTGCCGCCGTCGCCCGGGTTCGTTTGGCTCTGCCAGCGCCCGTAACCCGCTGCACGCACGCCCACTAAGCCCCTTGTGCCTATGGCAAACGGGGCCCACGCCCCTGGAATGATATTAAAAAAAGAAGTTAATAAAATAAATAAATAAATAAACATTAATTAATTAGTGGATTAATTAAGTTAATTAATACTGTTTAGCTAAGCTAATTAAAATTAGTTAACCTAATCAATGTAATTAAGCTAATTAACATGTTTAGTTAATCTAAGTCAATGACATATGGGACCCATGCGTCAGCTTGACCCAGTCAACACCTCTGTTGACTGATGATGTCATACTGATGCAGAAATGCCATTCTCGAATTAAATTAATAATAATAATTTATAAATTGAATTAAATCTTCAAAAATTAACATAAAATAAACCGTAACTCGGATGAAAATGCTTTGTACATGAAAGTTGCTCAGAACGACAAGACGAATCTGAATACGCAGCCCGTTCGTCAGCCACATGTCCCTAGCATAGCAAACATGCAACATTTCACCTCCGGTTCATCTGTCCAAAAACGCGAAACGCCGGGGATACTTTCCCGGATGTTTCCTCCCTTCGCCGGTATCACCTAGTACCGCGTTAGGGTACACCTAGCACCGCGTATTGCCATGTTACGCTTTGTGAAGCTTTGATTGCTCTGTTATTTATTGTGTTCCCCTTTCGTTACTTCTTTCCGGTAGACCCCGAGACTGCCGACGACCCCCAGTTCGACTACGTTGTTGATGACCCCTCCTTCTTGCCAGAGCAACCAGGCAAGCCCCCCCTTGATCACCAGATATCGCCTATTCTTCTCTATACTGCTTGCATTAGAGTAGTGTAGCATGTTACTGTTCGGTTACTCCTATTCTGTTGCATAGCCTGTCATTGTTGCTACAATCATTGATACCTTACCCGCAATCCTAAATTCTTAGTATAGGATGCTAGTTTATCATCATTGGCCCTACATTCTTGTCAGTCTGCCTTGCTATACTATCGGGTCGTGATCACTTGGGAGGTGATCACGGGTATATACTATACATATATACATACTATACAGATGATGACTAAAGTCGGGTCAGCTTGTTGAGTACCCGCAAGTGATTCCGATGTGGGGGCTGGAAGGATAGGTGGCTCCATCCCAGTAGAGGTGGGCCTGGGTTCCCGACGGCCCCCGACTATTACTTTGTGGCGGAGCAACAGGGCAGGTTGAGACCACCTAGGAGACAGGTGGGCCTGGCCCTGGTCGGCGTCCGCGGTTGCTTCATAATAACACGCTTAACGAGATCTTGGTATTTGATTTGAGTCTGGCCACTGGCCTATACGCACTAACCAACTACGCGGGAAAGATATGGGCACTCGACGTCGTGGTATCAGCCGAAGCCTTCGTGACGTCAGCGACTAAGCGGCGCGCGCCGGGTTGGACTGCGTTAACACAACTTCCTTTGTAATGGAGGTTGCTAGGTTTGCTCACCGGCCGCATACGCAACGTGCAGGTGTGCAATGGGCGATGGGCCCAGACCCCTGTGCGCATAGGATTTAGACCAGCGTGCTGACCTCTCTGTTGTGCCTAGGTGGGGCTGCGACGTGTTGATCTTCCGAGGCCGGGCATGACCCAGGAAAGTGTGTCCGGCCAAATGGGATCGAGCGTGTTGGGTTATGTGGTGCAACCCTGTAGGGAAGTTTATCTATTCGAATAGCCGTGTCCCTCTGTAAAAGGACGACCCGGAGTTGTACCTTGACCTTATGACAACTAGAACCGGATACTTAATAAAACACACCCAGACAAGTTCCACAGACAACCCGGTGATCGCTTTTCCTCAGGGCGACGAGGGGAGGATCGCCGGGTAGGATTATGCTATACGATGCTACTTGGAAGACTTCAATCTACTCTCTTCTACATGCTGCAAGACGGAGGCTGCCAGAAGCGTAGTCTTCGATAGGACTAGCTATCCCCCTCTTATTCTGGCATTCTGCAGTTCAGTCCACCAATATTGCCTCTTTACACATATACCCATGCATATGTAGTGTAGATCCTTGCTTGCGAGTACTTTGGATGAGTACTCACGGTTGCTTTTCTCCCTCTTTCCCCCTTTCCCTTCTACCTGGTTGTCGCAACCAGATGCGAGAGCCCAGGAGCCAGACGCCACCGTCGACGATGACTCCTACTACACTGGAGGTGCCTACTACTACGTGCAGGCCACTGACGACGACCAGGAGTAGTTAGGAGGATCCCAGGCAGGAGGCATGCGCCTCTTTCGATCTGTATCCCAGTTTGTGCTAGCCATCTTATGGAAACTTGTTTAACTTATGTCTGTACTCAGATATTGTTGCTTCCGATGACTCGTCTATGATCGAGCACTTGTATTCGAGCCCTCGAGGCCCCTGGCTTGTATTATGATGCTTGTATGACTTATTTATGTTTTAGAGTTGTGTTGTGATATCTTCCCGTGAGTCCCTGATCTTGATCGTACACGTTTGCGTGCATGATTAGTGTACAATTGAATTGGGGGCGTCACAAGTTGGTATCAGAGCCGACTGCCTATAGGAATCCCCTTTCCAACTCCTTGGCCGAAGTCGAGTCTAGATATTACAAAACTATTTTACTAACATGGCTGTGCGGCCCATGGGCCCACGTCGCCATTGGGTGGTGTTAAGTTCTTTTACTCCTCGATCCTTACTCTGGGACTCTGATCTCTCTTCTATTCGGGTTTAAATGAATTTTGCTAAATCTAACATTAGGATCTCGTTATCACTTTCACCTGGAGAGCACCTTATTACCGATGATCGTCTGCTGCACCAGAAGACCCTGAAGATACTCTCCGTTGTTAACCCGAGAACTTGTGTTCATCGCGTTTGCAATTCCCCTTCGACCGTCAACCCTTACGGATAACTACATGCAGTTGTCATTCTTACATTCATCCCTAGTTGGTTTTGTTATTACAAGATACCCCGAAATACTCGTCGTTGTTTCGATAATCCTTTGTGCCTTACTGCCTTGCAGTTCTTGCCACATGAATAC